TAAGGAAAATAAACTAAATAAATCTAATTAAGTTGAGAGAATTATTTTTTGTGAGAAAAAAAAATAAAAACAGAAATATGAGTGTTTCTATTCATTCATTGACACTTGACCCATGTCCAGAAGGTAGGGATGGTCACTGGGGAAATATTCAAAAATTTTTCTTTAAATTATGTTTTGGGAAAATTTTTGGAGGGTTTGCTTTATTTTAAATGAATTTTAAATGTCGCAAAATTCAGTTAATTTTTAAATTTATTTGTTGTAATTAAGTAATTGGTAATAATAATTAAACTCGTGTTGCCGCGGGTACAAAAAATCTTCGGGTACAAGTTTCGGGTATCGGGTTGGAGCGTTTTCATTTCTGGTTTCGGGTTGGCAAACATATCGGGTAAGGGTTTCAGGTTTCGGACGGCAACCCTGATATAAACAGACCCCCGAGCCTTTAATATTTTAACATCTAGGTATATGAAGATATGTATCAGGGGTGGCCGAAACTGATTTTATGCGAATGTCGAATAGCGAAAGGCGAAACACCAAAAAAGCAAATTGCCCGAAAGACGAAAAGCGAGCTGGCACATCCCTGATATATGTATATAATACTGTAAAAATATTAAGGAAAATTTTTGTTCAGACCAGCTCATTTTTAATTTTGGGGTAATCTACAAAAAGTAAAATAATCAAAAAATATTTTTAAATAAAAACTATAAGTAAAAGTTAAATTAAGACAATTTTTCAAAGATTTAAGCTTTAGATAATTATTTAAATAATAAATTTAGTAACTAAAAACATTTTATAAATTCATAGCTTTGATTAAAATAAATCGATTAGGTAATTTTGCTTTTAATAGCATTTAATTATTTTTATTTAAATTAACTTGTGACAGTCGGGTATTAATTCTACGGAATTCTACGGTATTTTGAAGCTAAAAATACCTAAAATTTGAGGCTTAGCTAATTGTTAGTGAATGTAAAATTGGGATAGTATAACTTTAGTAATATGCCATTATTTTGGCAATAATTTACAAATTTAAAAGGCTTTCCATTCCATCAGATGTGGGTCGGAATTCCGATTTCCGAAAAAAATTTTGATTTCCGATTTCCGAGTTCCGGCTTTTGAGCCAGTTCTGATTTCCGACACCTCTGACTGTTCCGACCCACCTCCGCATCAAATGTCCGTTGTTTTGTGACAGTTTACGAATAATCTCTGAATGCTTCAAATATCTTCGAATAATCTCTGAAATTCTCCCAATAAACTTTCAAAAAATTCTTTGTTTTTTTCTTTCTATTTTATTTAAATATAAATTCATATTAGGGGTTTTCTCTCTTTTTTTTGGATAAATAAAATAAATGAAAGCTTTTGTTAAATTTTTTGAAGATACTCCTTAAGTATATTCTTTGCCAGAAGGCGTTGCTTATTCTCACCTTCTTTGAATAATATTTTTTTATTTATTCTCTTAATCCTTTAAAAAATAATAGGAAAAATCCTTCTGTCGTCTCAATTTAATTCCACTCAATCATTTAGAATATATTTACCTATTTGAATTTTTTTCTAATCTTTTACCTGAATTTTTGGGAAAAGATTTTGTTTGTTTATATTTTTTAAATTATTTTTATAAATTTAAATTTTGTTTATAATCAAAATTCTTTCCTTTAATTGTAAGGATGATTCATCTAGAGCATTAAAAACGCTTAGGCGGGGTTAAAGGATCTAAAAGGATAAAAGGGAAGCATCAGTCGATGCCCCAAGTAGTTCAGTGTAGAGCTTTTGTATATGATGAGTGAAAGCCGACCCAAAAAATCCGACCCAAAAAATCCAGCCCGGTGACTCGAAATTTTATTTAAATCATAATTTAATTATTTTTAATTTTCCAAATGTCTTTTTAAAATCTCCAAAAATATAAAATATTCAATACCTTTCTTTCCCCCAACCATTCAAACCTCTTCTTGGTCTCACTTATTTTATGTCCTAAATCAGCTGCAATTTGGGCATCCTTTGGGATTTAATTTTATTCATTAAAGAGAAGCTCTTCTCCTCCTTTTCCTCCAAAAATAATACAAAGTGTGCCATCGTTCCTTCTCTCATTTATTTATTTACTTTCTCTTTTTTTATTAATTTTTAATTCTTCAATTTTTATTCTTAACCTTCCTTTTTCTTTCATTCTTCATTTTTTATTTCTCAAAAATGTATTAGAGATCCACAAATAATAAGAGATTTTGTTTAGAATTGATCTCGAGTGCTTTTCTGTGATTTCTCTAATCTATTCGAATCTAAAAATACAAATTATACAATAATTTTATTTTAATTCCACCATTTTCCTAAATAAGGGAGAAGATTTTCCTCCTCTTTTTACCATACATCCACCACAGTTTTCCTTCCTTTATAAAACAATTTTTATTTTATTTTCATTCATTTGGTAGTCACCGGCTGGCATTTTCTAATGGTTGTCGCTAATTCGTATTTTCCATCATTTTATTCTTTGTTTTCTTCTCCAATTTTTCTCGACTCACCTCTCTTTTCTCGGGAATAACCTAACCCTCCTTTTCCCACCTTTTGCTTCATTTTCTTTCATTTTAGTATTAGAAAATGCCATGCTTTTATTCCTAGCTCTTTTTAGTTTCACACGGTAAAGGCAAATGCAAAGACTCACCTCAGCCACATAAATAAATTGGATTAATCTGCCTCTGGGCAAGCACCGCTGTGCTATCTTCCTCCATCTTTTCTGCGGGCCATCCATCCTTTTCGCTGTTTTCTACCTCAACAGGATGGCCAGAATAGTCCAATAGATGGTGCCAGGCGTTGGGACGTGCGCACTTTTTTTATATATTTATTCTAGGGAATACTAACTCATTATAGAGGATATAGGCACGCACATTTTGGTTTTATATGGATGGATTTATTAATTATTTTAAAAAAGATGGTGATTATTTGGAACTATTCTTACAACCGATTTTTGGGGTAGTAGTTCTAATTGTTTACTTGAATAGCTTAAAAGCTTTGTTATAATCTTGAGTAACCTTAATCACATTTATTTTCATAATCGGCTATCCTCATATACGACACTCCAGCATACCTTTGAAAATGAGCTAGACAAGTGATGGGAATCAAAATTATTTTTGGGTGATTAAATCATAATTCTCTAACTTTTCCGGACCAAAAATCTAAATAAATCCCGCCTCTTTTTCATCAATAGTGAATACTATCCAAATTTATTATTATTATTATTGTCTCTATTTTTCCACAATTATTTTCCCCATTCTTTGCTTTTGATTCTTTACAATTCACCCCCATTCGTTTATATTTTTCTATTCTTTTGTCTATTATATTCCCCCGACTATTTTATTTGATGGGCAACCTTTTTGTTTAATTCTGGGCTCATATCAATATTAAATTATATTTTTATTTTCCATTCTTTAATAAAAATTCATTTAGCCTCTACACTATTCTTTCTTTACTACTATATTTTAATTTAATTTTTAATTATTAAACAATTAGGTATAATTTCGGAATACTGAACAGAACGCAAATGGGTCAAACTATATGTCATTCGAAAGAGCTCGTCGAGTTGAGTCGAATGGTGAAAAAATTTTCGTGCGGACTCATACAGGGGCTGAGATATAGACCCCCGAAAATCGAAAAACCATAGGGGGGACCAAGCACTTTTTTGGGGTAAAAAATTCGAAAATGCAAATTATACCTCATTCGAAAGAGCTCGTCGAGCTGAGTCGAATGACACCAAAATCAACGAAATCTGACTTGATTTGAGAAAGTTATGACCATTTGTTTTAGCTCCTTACCTATGGCATCTGTGGAGATTTTTGCTGCTACGGAGGCCCCAAATACGTCCAGAGCAAGGGAGATAGGAATAGGTTTATGTTACGAGCCCAGACCCAGCGCCCGTAGACTCCCCGCGAGGCGCGTGCCGCAAAACCCCGCGCGAAGCGCGGGGTTTTGCACAAGCGCCTCGCCTACGCCCCATAGGTTTAGGTTTTAGTTTTTCTATCGTAACTTTGTCCAAACTTGTACAATCACGATGATTTTGGTGTCATTCGACTCAGCTCGAGGAGCTCTTTCGAATGAGCTACTATTTGCATATTCGAATTTTTTACCCCAAAAAAGTGCTTGGTCCCCTCTATGGTTTTTCGATTTTCGGGGGCCTATATCTCAGCCCCTGTATGAGTCCGCACGAAAATTTTTTCACCATTCGACTCAACTCGACGAGCTCTTTCGAATGACATATAGTTTGACCCATTTGCGTTCTGTTTAGTATTCCGAAATTTTTCCAAACAATTATTATTGGAATATGATAATTTTTTAATAATCAACTTTAATCATAATTTATTAACCTTTTATTAATTATAAAGTAAATAAATTATTTCTTGATTTTTAGTTTAGTTTAAATATTTTCTGAAGAGTTTGCTAAAGAATCAGGAAATTAGTTAATGCTAGACTTGTACAGGATCGGGATCCCGACATAAAATCGGGATCGGGATTCAAAAAACAGGGATAATCCCGCCCATATCGGGATTCAAAAAACAGGGATAATCCCGCCCGATCCCAGCCGGAATCCTGATTCCTCTCAACTTAAAAAAATTTAAAAAAATTTTGGGATCTAAAAAGAAAAAACACGAAAATAGGGGTGGAAGTATAGTTATGTGGAGCAGTGTACCTAGTCATACCCCCCTTAAAGATCCCAGCCTTATCCAATTATATTTTTATTTCTAATAAACCTAGATTTATTTTATTATTTTGAATTATTTATAAATTAATATATTTATTACACAGTAATATAAAAATATATTTTATAATTTCCTTACTTTTAATGGGCGTGTAAAGTCCTTACCTCATTGGTTCTTGGTTACCTGCGAAATAACTAATGTAAACAAAAATTGAAAACAATCCTTTCTTTTGTCCAATAAATATTCTAAATTTTAATTGAATTTTATCATTACTAGTGTCGCCATTGTTTAAAACGTTTTTCTCATTCTGGTTCATATTCCTCACATATGAGCAGCAAAAAGTGCCAACAACAACAACAAAAACTTGCTGCTGCTTCTGTTATTGTTAACTCTGATAAACAAATAAATAATCAACAACAAAATTCTTCTTTTTCCTTTTCTTCTTCCACAGCTTCCTCTTCCTCCTCTTCTTCCCCAAATAATTCTTCTTCAATATTTGGAAATAAACAGCAGACAATTTCTTCAAATATTTTTAATAATAATAATTATTTATTAGAACAATTACGTTTATATTATACCCAACAACAACAATTAATTAAACAAGGAAATTCTTCTAATTTATTTTCTTCTTCTATAGATTCATTACCTAATAATATTTGGGTAATTTAAAAAATAATTTAAAAATTTAATTTAAATTATTTAGAATCCCCAACAACCCCCCTTATTTCCCTTCCAATTTTCGGCTGCTTTAGCTGCTGCTAGCTGTTTACCTTTAAATTATAATAATTTTATCCAACCTGGAATATCCGAATCAATTAATGGGAAGGATCAGATGGATATTAAATCACCAATAAAAAGTGAGGAAGAATGTCAAGTTAGTACAAATGGAAAACAATGTAAATAATAATTTTTGTTAAAAAGGGAGATTAATATGAGAATAAGTATAGAATTTCTAAAATTATGGAATCTCTAGTTATTCTTTTGGAAATCCCAAAAAACTTATGAATGATAATAGTTAATGATAATAATATTTGCTATTATTATAATAATATAATTATTAATAAGTATAATAATATAATAATTAGAGTTCGAACCCGGGCCGGGCCCGGACCGGTTTTTTCCGGGCCCGGTGGCCCGGAACCGGGTATTTTTGAAAAAATCCGGTTTTTCCGGGCTAACCGGTTTTTCCGGTTTTAACCGGAAAAACCGGCCCGGGTACGATTTTGTGTAAAAAAACCGGGTCCCGGGCCCGGTAATTTTTTGCCGGGCCCGGAGTCTTTTTGCCGAAGTCAAAAAATGTAAAAAATATAGTTGTTTGGCCATCCAATTTTTCAAAATTTTCGCCACCGGCGTTAAAAAAGGAAGAAATCTGGCCCCTTGGAGTTCCAAAATTCTCAAAATTTCCTAAATACTTCAAATCCCCTTATTTTCCCAGACTACCAATTATTTCAAAAATTGCGGATTGCATATAATTGTGTGTTTTTTTGACTTGCGTACAGCGGATTGCGGCTGCGGATTTTAAAAATAAAATTGCCTGCTATATTCACTTGCGGACACCCTGCTTTATATCCTTAAGCGCATCTATCCTTTGATTCATCTATCCTTTAATCGATCCTTTGTATGTTTTCCGATCCTTTGTACGTGTGATAATTTTTTTTTGTTTTTAATAAATTTAGAAAAAACCGGGTCCTGGCCCGGGTCTGAAAAAATCCGGTTTTTCCGGGCTAACCGGTTTTTCCGGTTTTATCCGGAAAACCCGGTCCGGGTGCGATTTTGAGAAAAAAAAACCGGGTCCCGGGCCCGGCATTTTGAAAAGTTCGAACTCTAATAATAATTAATAAGGATAATTATAATGATAATATAGAAGTTTACTTCTACTAAAAAATATATTTTATCTTCTACACCTATAAATTAAACAACCTATTGGGTTTATAATTATTGTCAATTTTTACTGAAGGAATAATTTTAATAAATAAAATTTTATTAAAATTTAGCTAAGAACATAACATCATTTTTTGACAATTTTTGGCAAACAGCTTCTTCTAACCAAAAAAGAATCTCTACACCTGATACCACAAATGCACTTAAAGCAATAATTTTACAACAACAATTGGCAACGGCTGCACAACAATGGCTATTTAATGGAAATTTGGTGAAAAATGAGGCTGGAAAGAATAATTGGATTGCTGAAAATAAAAATGGGGAAGAGAAAAATGTAATTAAAGATTTTTTGTAAAAAATTTAAATTAAAAATACATATTTGGGGAGTGTGGAAGAGGTGGGGATTAAACAATGATAACCTTTTTGGATATACAAGGATATATTATTTGTGGGGTTATTTTGGTTTTTGGTCTTTAATGCTTCAATATTTAACTTATTGTTAGGATATTGAAAATTTGGGTTTTCTATCTTTAATATTTTAATTAAAAAAATATTTTTAATTTGGTGAGTGTGTGAGGGGGTGAATAAACACAATGATAACCTTTTTGGATATACGAGGAAATACATATTATTTTTGAGGTTTTTGGGGCTATTTTTAGTTGTTGGTTTCTAATGTTCCAATCTCTAATTTATTGTTAGAATATTGAAGATTTGAATTTTTGAAATAAACAAAGGATTCTAGGGTTTTTCTAAGAATTCTAACGTAAATTATAAAATAATATTCCCATTAAAAAATAAATCTTGTTACTCCAATAAATTAATTCTTATAGTCTGAAAAACATTCTTCTTCTACAACAATATTTAAAGAAATTAAACAACAAACAAAAAGAATAAATGAAAATAATGAAGAATCGAATAATAATATTTCAGAATTAAATACAAATAATTTATTTAATAATTCTTGTGTTGATTCTATTGAATTAGATGAATGGAGGCATTCTTCTGCAGCTGGTTCTGTCCTCCGTTCACGTTCTTTTCTTTCTGATCAACAATTAAGAATTCTTGCTGAACAATTTAGAAGAAATTCTTTGCCTAGTAAATATGAATTGTCTTCTTTGGCGGAAAAAATTGGGGTTAATAAAAGGGTTGTGCAAGTTTGGTTTCAGAATATGAGAGCTAAGGTGATGAGAGATTTTTAGTTATAGAAGTTAGGGGATATTTATAGATCTATTATTTATTGATAGATGGAATTTTATTTCGAAAAAAATACTGGGGAATAACGAGGATAGCTTTTTTAACTCATACCAAGGACATGGATTTTGGTATCCGCGGGGTAGATATCTATTTATACCTTATTTTCTCGATTAATTCCCCCTCTCGATTAATTCCCCATGCTAGAGTTGTGTTGAAACAATAATTCCCCACCGCCAAATACCCTACTGCACGTTCAAATGCTAAAACTCGAATAATTCCCCTCCCTCGATTAATCCCCCATGCCAAGGAAGTGTTGAAAAAATAATTTCCCAGGGGAATTAATCAAGAAACTACGGTATATCCGTGTAACTTTTGGGTCTTATTCACGGCGTGTATCCTTGATATTATCCACGTCCATGTTTGGTTTAAACTCCTAGTTTTTACAAAAAATACGACAGATTTACTTTAAAAAATTTATATTTAAGGCAAAAAGAGCAAACAGATTAAGTGTTATTAGTGATCGTTTAAGTCGAAATGCAATGAGAAATGCTTCAGCTAAACAACAACAACAAAATAAACAAAAAATAACTAATTTAAATGATTTAAATAAGGAAGAAGAATTAAACAAAAATAATTTTAAATTAAATCCTATCGATCCAGCTTTACTTCAAAAACTTGTAAATAATGTAATTAATGGAGCTAAAAAGACATTAAAGGAAGAAAATAATAATTATTCGAAAGAAGAAATTATTGAAGAGGTAAAGGAAAATTTAAATTTTTAATATTAGATTTGAACAAAAAAATTCTATTTTTATTTTATATGTGATTAGGTAAGCCTTTAAAATCTTAAATAATAATTACAAATTTTAAAAATCACAAAAATTCTAAAAAAATGTTTTAAGATATTTTTGTAAATAATTCACTAATAAGCTTATCCCTTATTTCCCAGTGATTTTTCTTGTAATTTCTTCTCCAATATTACCATTTAAGATTTAAGTAAGGGCTGGACGAAATCTAAAAATAAAAAGCGAAATGCGGAATGCGAAACTTTTCGCGCTAAAAAATGTGAAAAATGCGAAATCGCCCAACCATGATACAAATCTTTTAATCTGTAAATGTTTTTTTATAAATTAACTATTTTTAATTAATTATGTTTATAACACCTTTTCAAAATTAATTTTTAAAAAATTCCTTATTATCTTTACTTGTTATATTCCATTCTCCTTTATTATTTCAATCACTTAACACTTATTTAATTCTTAATAATCTCTAAACAATTTAAAGAGAACATGTTATTTTTAAAATTATTTTTTTCTTGAAAGATTTCGAGATTTTCAAGTTTTCCCCCTCTTCATTCATCAATTACCTATTTCTTTTATTTTCATTCTATACATCTGCTAAATAGCAACTCTTCATCTTTGAATTACTTCCAACTGTGTAAAATATTAACTGCTATTTTTTGTTTTTATTCAGACAATTTTGGAGATATAATTTTCAAGAATAACCACCGACTTGTACACTTACACATTTTTTAAAGTACTTTACTTATTTTTTAAAATAACAAATATATTATATTAGATATCCTTAATATACCGTAAATGCTAAATAATTACCTTCTCTAGTAATTACCCCCTAATATTTAAAAAATTATTATCAAATTTAATTATTGGAACATTCTAAGACACAATATCAAGAAATAAAAAAATTTCGCCTCAATTGGATTGAGATATACCCTAAATCCAGCACATCTCCCTTATAATTACCCCCTCCAGTGAAAGATTGAAACAATAATTACCTAGGGTAATTATTTCAGCATTTACGGTATCCCTTTTTTACAACTATCATTTCTTTAAATTTACTCAATACTCTTTTATTATAGTTTAATGATACAGTCAATTATGGCATAAAAATAATTTCTTTTAATTTTTTCAAATTTATTTTTCTTTGTCCTCAAAAAATCTTTTATTATTTTAAAATTTTTAAATTTCACCCTACCTATCAATAAAAAAAAAATAAATAGAAAAATATGGATTGTAAAATTTAAATATATAATTTTGAGAGAGTGAAGATGAATTGCACAAAATTATAAAATAATAATAATAAATGACCATTCGAAGAATAATAATATACATATTTTATTTTTTTCTTTACCTTTCCTCCTTTTTTTGTGACTATGAATGAATTACTTATATGTGGATAGTAATAACGTAGTTTTCTATGGACGGTCATTATCCTGAAAAATTGAAGTTGATGAATTGTTAGGAAAAAATTCCAAAAAAAATTTATTTTGTAATTAAATGAATATTAAGCAAAAATTTTAAGAGATATTTTAAGAAATGAATATTATTAAATAATTATTAAATAAAAAATGGGATTTTATGATAAAAAAATAATATTAATTTTGATAATAAATAAAAATAAAATTAATTTTGAGGAATCTCCTTTGGATTTATCTTTCAAAAAGGAAGAACTTCCCGATCTTGAACATAACAATTTTGACTTTGAAGGGAATCAACAAGAATTTGAAAGAGATGAAACGAAAGATGAAATACCAGAAATAATTAAAAATAACCGTCGAAGGAAGTTAAGCTTTGGAAATGAAGTTAAGAAAAAATGTTTAAATGGAGGGGAATTGGATAATAAAAGTTTTGGTTGGTTAATTTAATTGGAGATTTAATTCTTAAAAAATTTTAAAACTAAATTTGACTACGTATTTTCTCGATTAATTCTCCTGGGGAATTAATATTTCAACCTATTTATACGTGCGATGGGGAATTATTAGATGAAGGGGAATTATTCGAAGTTTTGCCATTTGAACTTGCAGTAGGGTATTTGGGGGTGGGGAATTATTGTTCCAAACCAACTCTAGCATGGGGAATTAATCGAGTGGGGGAATTATTCGAGGAAAGGAATTAATCAAGAAATTACGGTAGCCATTGGCAAATTTTAAGAAAATTTAAAATTAATTATTTTTAATCTTTAATCTTTTATTTTCAGGTAATCAAAATGAAATAAAAATTAAAAAGGAGCCAAAAGAAAGTAATATTTATTCCCCAACTTCATTTTCACCAAATTATTTTTCAACTACGAGAAGTGATTTGTCTAATATTTCACCTTCCTCTTCTTCCTTTTCTCAATGTTGTAGTGGATCTGCATCCTCCTCCCCTATAATAAATAATCATTTTATTGGGAATGATAATTGTTCAATAAAATCATCTTCCTCTATTTGGCCCACAAATAATGGAAAAACAACCCCCACAATTTCATCTACTTTACTTTCAATAATTGGAAATGGACAGAAAAATATTTTAAATGAATGGCAAAGAGTATTAGAGGTGCTAAATATAAATTGATAAAATATCTAGTATAGATGGAGGATACAAACTACTAAATATTATCAGAGAGTCCTAGCTAGATAAAGGAGTTGTTTGTATTTTCGTTCCTCTCTCAATCAATTTAGGACTGGGCCGTGGTTAGAATTTTTCACCATTCTTTCTTTCTGTTTATAATTCTTAGCACTATCCAACCCTCAAAGCTATTGAGTAGGGGGTGTCGATTCTTGGAAAATCTTCAGATATACGGAACCAAACCGATTTGGGAAACGAGAATTTTAACCGAACAGACTTGCACCCTTATCTCTGTGGACCTTACTACCTTCTCAAAAATCTACTTAATTAAAATGTAAATTTCTAAAAATATTTTGTTAGTATCCAAATCAACATTTCTCTGAACCTTCATCTCCAAATCACCCAGAAGATAAAAAAGAAAAATCTTATCAACAAATTTCTGAACATTTTGACAATACTAAAAATGAAAATTCTTCTGAAGAAATTATTCAAACAACAAAAAATGGAAATTTTAATAAAAATTCTTTTGGCCCCTCACCTGCAAAGATACGCCGTTTAAATCAAAATGAACATCAAAATAGTCAAAGGGATGAAATTACTGGACTTTATATTTGTGATATTTGTGATAAAACTTTTAATAAACAAAGCTCTTTAGCAAGGCACAAATATGAACATTCTGGTTAGGTTTTAAGTACTTAGTAATAAAAGAACGATAAAAATCGAAAAAATAAATACGCGGATTTTTATAACTTATCGCGCCATAGCGTGGTAAATTCCATTTTTCAACACCGCAGGCGAACTTTTTAAATCCTATCCAACTTAAGGGTATATTTTCTAAAATCCTTCAAAAAGCCAATTTCAAGACTTACCTTCTCGACCAAGATCGAGAAACCCCAAGAAAAGTATTGGTTTCATGACCAAGTCTTTCTACGTAAAATTTTTTCCCTTTAAGCAAAAAGTTTTACAAGTATTTATTAAAATCTAAAAAAATCTAAATTCATTTTTAAAGGCCAAAGACCTCATAAATGTGAACATTGTGAAAAAGCTTTTAAACATAAACATCATCTTACAGAACATAATCGCTTACACAGTGGAGAAAAACCTTTTCAAGTACAAAATTTAAAAAATAAAAATAAATTTTTCCTTTTATTTTTTTAAGTGTAATAAATGTATGAAACGTTTTTCTCATTCTGGTTCTTATTCGCAACATATGAACCATCGATATGGTTATTAATTTTTTAAAAATAATTTTTTTTAATTTAATTTTTATAGCTTATTGTAAACCTTTTATGAACAAAAATGGATTAATTAAAAATTCTAGTGAATTAATTGAAAATGAAATTGAGAAAATAAATGATGGAAAAGAAATTAATTTGATAGAAATATCTAAAGATGAAACAGAAAAATAAAAAAAGTTTTTCTTGTTACCGTGTATACTGCCTTATTAATTACTCTGGGTAATTATTGTTTCAACCCCTGGGCCGTAGTATAAGAACGTGGCTGCTGATTAGGTGATCAACTCGGCACTCCATCTACGATGGGTACCAACCACCTTCTTATACTACGGGCCCTGGCTGATGGGAATAATTATTTAAGAGAGGTCAATTAATACAGTATATACGGTATTTTATTTTACCTCATTTTCTATTTATATTTCTTTACTTTTATTTACCTCTAAAATACTTTTTCGATCTTCTTTTGGTGCTAATATTTATACAAAATTATTATTTGTAACAACGCTTCCATGTCCCTCCTCATTTTAAATATCTTCCTTTTATTTAAAAATAATTTTAAAAATGTTGACAAAAGGGGTTGTAACCAGTCAGACATCAAAAATGCTTTTTCCGATTCCAAAAGGTTAAAAAATTGTTCATGGTTCTTCAAATTTTCGTTTTTTAAATAAAAGAAGGAAGATATCCCTGTCAATATTCTGCCAAATTAATAAATCATTTGAAAAATTTTTTTCATTAAATCTTTAAAAATATTTTTTTCTTATTTCAAGGCATATTTATAAAATATATTTTTTGAATTTTATAAAATCACCCTTATTTAGTTAGAAAATTTTTTAAAAATATTTTCAAGCCTTTTTCAGTGCAATTTATTATTTTAATTATTTTTTTTTGTTTAATTTCACCACAATCAAAACTAAATGAATTCTTCTTGCCATTTTGTGTATATATTTATTATTAAAAATATTTTTTTATTTATAATAATTTTTTAAATAATTTTTTGAAATTTGTTAAAAGTTAAATAAAAAATTATTTTAAAATATGGTTATTTATAAATATTTTTCGGGACACACCCAAAAAAACGCGCGGCTATAACAACGCAAAGCCCTAACTTGTTTCAAGATTTCCGAATATTAACAAATTTATGTAGTATTAAACATTTCCCCTCATCAATCTAAAGAGATTTGGCTAAAAATGATATGGGCTAGAAAATCTTCAGCTAGTTATGGCATTACCGAAGTTTTTATTAATTAAATGAAAATTATTTTTCATTTTTTAAATCCATTTTTTTCCTAGTCTTTTTATTCCAAATAAAATCCATATAAATACTTAATTTTTATTTTTATATACATCATATAACTAAGCTTTCAACAATCCATTTAATCTAATTAGTATGGACAAGATCTCGGTACGAGATCTCTGAAACGACACTATACTCTGTTGCATAGATTTAGTGTATTATCCTTAAATTAATGCACTAGCATACATATACAAACTTGCCCATTCACTTTTATAACCTTAGTTACATATGTAAAAGCAATTGTTTTTATGACTTTTTATCATTATTTAATTTAACAAACTAATCTACTTAAAAAATTATTTTTTTTAATTTAATTTTTCAAACTCATTTATTCATCATCATCCCCACATTCAACATTTTGAGCCTTTGGTTTAGGTGATGGAAAAGGTTTAAATGTTGGACGATGTTTACGTGTTGGATGTGGACGTTTTGAAGGGTGTGGAGGGTGTGTTGGGTGTTTTGGATGTTTATGGTGGTCGTTATTCTTTAAATTAATTAAAAGGATTTTTAATTTTAAATTAAAAGAAAACCTTTGCCAAACTTCCAGCAATTATTAAAAGAATTGAAAATAAAATTAAGAAAAATTTACAATTCATTTTTTTTAGATTAATTAATTTAAGAGGAATTTAAGTTTGTGTTAATTATTAACTAAAATTTAATTCTTTATAAAGCCAATTAATTAACAGATGTTTAAACAAATTAAAATAATATTTTTTTTTAATATTTTCAAATTTCATGGAGAAAACCTACGCATTTTATTATGTACTTTACTTAAATGTACTTTTAAAAATATCTATAAAACAATAAATATTTTTAACAAAAATATTTAATAAAAAGTTTTATTAATTTAGTGAAATTTAATTAAAATGTAAAAATATAATTTTCAATAATATTGTCTAGAAAATTTAAATATTTTTTAAAATTAAATAAAAACAAAAAAATATTTAAAAATATTTTTCCAAATATTTTAATTTGCACTTAACTCACCTGTTACTTAAAATCCTTATTTTTAATTATTTATTAAATTTAAAAAAACAGTCTGAAAAATCGATGTATATATAAATTATTTGAAATTAAATATTTTTAACTTAATTCCCAAATTTATTTAAAATACCCAAAATTAATTTAAATTAACAACTAAAAATGAACGTTAATATTTTCTTTATTCTTTTTGCTTTTCTTCTCGTAATTTCTGGAAGTTTGGCAAAAAATGTAAATTTTTTGAAAATATTATTTTAAAAATTATTTTACAAAATTTAAAGAATAATAACAATAATATACATCCAATGCCTGTACTTCCTCCACCAAATGCCCAAAATGTTGAATGTGGGGATGATGATGATTAGGATAATATGGATGATAATGATAGGATTAATTTATGTGTTAAATAGAAAATAATAATAATTTTTAATAATTTGTAGAATAAAATAAGCTATTTCTCCTTTAGCTAATATTGAAAATGGTTATTTAGTAGAGTTTCACCGGAAGTTCCGGTTCCGGTTCCGGAAAGTTCCGGTGTTTTTTTGGTTCCGGTTCCGGGAACCGGAACTCAAATTGGTTCCGGTTCCGGTTCCGGCTCCGGTTTACAAATCGGTTCCGGCCAAACCGGAACTTTTTTACACCCCTAACGATTAGTTTTTTAAAAAAATATGGGTTGGCCTTGCAATATTTTCACCTGTTGGCCTTTCAAAATTCCAAAATTTTCGCCTGCGGCGCCAGAAAACGAAGAAATCTAGCTCCTTGTCCACACAAATTTTCAAAATTTTCGCCTGCGGCGCTGAAAAAGGAAGAAATATGTATCCTTGGTTCACCTAAAATCCCAAAATTTTTGTAAGTTGGCTGGTATATCGGAGGATTTGGATGGATGAAGATGGATTTTGAGTTACATTATGTGAGTTCAAGAGGTCATAGGTAATATAGAGGGATTTAAGTGTGATGTCGAGGGATTGAGCTGTGCAAGGAGATACCAGGGATTGGATAGCTGGGGATTTGGCATTCCAAAACTTGGAATTTCTCACTTGATCTTCCTAAATTAGCAAAATTTTCGCCTGCGGCGCTAAAAAAGAAAGATAAATGGAGATTTGGAGTGACATTTGGGGATACCGATGTATAATGGCATATCGGTGATTTGATATCTAGGGATCTGGTGGGATTAAAGATAATTCGAAGAAATTCGGGGATCAAAGGATATCATGAAGTTGGTGAGGTATTTGGCATAGCAGGGGATTTGGATTGTTCGGTTTGGTTTTTATGTTCGTTTTCGGTTAATCGAAAGTTTCGGTTAGGTTATTCGGCTCGGTTTCGATTAACCGAATAATTTGGCTCAATTTAATAGAAAAATTTGGCGAAACCGACACCACTACTTGAAAAACAAATTTTTTAAAATTTGCCTGCAAAATTTTTTTAAAAGTTCCGGTTCCGGTTCCGGTTCCGGGCCGGAACTTAGAAAAGTTCCGGTTCCGGTTCCGGGAACCGGAACTTAAATTGGATCCGGTTCCGGTTCCGGTCAAAATTTCGGTTCCGGTGAAACACTATTATTTAGGCGGCTGGGAGCGATCGGTGGATTTGAAAGGATAGAAAAATATTAGGGGTTAGAAACATGCAAAAACTGTCGGACTTGTCGAGGAAACATTGTAATTATGGCCGCGTTTTTTCCGTTTTTTCCTTCCGATTTCCGAAAATTTAGGTTATTTTTAGAGTTCAGCGGGATCGGGATCCCGGTCGGGATCGGGCGGGATTATCCCGGGTTTTTCAAATCCCGATCCCGATTTTTCTGATCCCGCTCCCGAAATATATATCCCGATCCCGATCCCGGCCAATCTCAATCCCGAGCCGGGATCCGGGATCGGGATCGGGATGTGCATCAGATCCCGATGAAAATCCCGACTTTATAAATTGACTAGAAGTCTGCAAAATAAAGTTAACAGAAGAGGGGAGGCATGAAAGTAAGAAAAATTTTCGCCTGCGGCGCAGAAAATGGAAGAAATTTGGCATCTTGCCATCCAAAATTCTCAAAATTTTAGCCTGCGGCGCCGTAAAAATGAACAAAGCTTCATTACAACTTTAACGAAATATTGAGTGATTTGGTGTGATATCGGGGGATCAAGAAGGGTTGAGGGGAGTATCGGTGGATTTGGAGTATAGAGGGATATCGGTGAATTTAAAAGGATTAAGTTAGATTTGAAGAGAAATCGAGGGCTTAAGAAATATTACTACATGAATATTACTACATGAATTTCATCCCTATATTCCCATGATCCCTCCTCCTCCATGATCACAATATCATCGATATCCCACTTTATTTCTTCAACTCTCTTAATACATCTAAAAAATTATTGGGATATATTTTTCCTCCAATATTTTTAGGTGGGGCTGCATTATTTTGGAAGGCCCCCCTTGGCCTTCCAAAATCCCCCTTGGCCTTCCAAAATTAAAAATATGGCATGCGGCGCTTAAAAGGGGGGAAATCTGGCACGTTGGCCTTCCAACTTTTTCAAAATTTTTGCCTACGGCGCTTAAAATAGAAGAAGCCCAATCCCATTTATTCCCCCCATTACCTTATGACCCCTTAATCCCCTGAACCGTAAAGTAAATTATGCGTCTATGAGAAGAAAATAAAAATTTAAAAATTAAAAAATTTTTTTAGTAAATCCCGATCCCGATTTTCTAATCCCGGTCCCGATTCGGGATCGGGATCTCCAGTCCAAATCCCGATCCCGATTTCGGCTAATCCCGATCCCGTGTCGGGATCCGGGATCGGGATCGGGATCACCATTCCTAAATCCCGATCCCGGGTTTTTCTCGAAATCCCGATACCGCTGAACTCTAGTTATTTTTCATCCGACTTTCGATTCAAAGATTTTAAAATTATTTTCAATTACGTTGGCAATAAATAAGCATAGGAAATTAATATCACATATATTTGCAAGTTGGATTTGTATAAAAGCAGAGCAGTTTTCTATGTTAAAACTATCTGTATTCAGCAAAAATATGGTCTACGAATCAGATTACGAACATCACTACGATCAAGACCGAGACGTCCGAGAAGCTAATGCCAATGCTGCCATAATTATGATGCTCTTCATTGTGTCGATCATCGTCAGCTTCTGTTGTGTTATCTACCAAGTAATGAACTATCAAAATGAGAGGGCTGAATTCGAACGCATTCGACGTATGCAATTTATGCAATACAATCTTCGAAAGCAACGGGAACGTCAGTATCAGGAACTTCAGCGTCAGCAATATGCTTATGTTCAGCCATATATTGGTTAGTTTTTAAATTTAATAGAGAATATTCTCATTAAAATTTTAATATATTTAGTCTATCCAGTTGTTGCAGCTCAGTATCAATGGACGGGAAATGAGCAAAGGTAAAATGAAAATAAACAAATAAATTCTAAAAAATAATTTTTAGCGTTGAAAATCCACCACAATATGTTCAAGCGCCATACCCGCCAGTCTAAAAAGAAATAGAGGGAAGGAATATTAAGAGATAAATTGATAGGAGAAGATATATAGTACTTGTTGTTGTTAAATTTGTTCTTTTTTTTGTTTTAAATAAATTTATGTCAAGTACATAAAGTAAAGCAGAGCTATAGCCATTTCTCTCCTTCAGCTAGTGCAAAAAGTTATTCGGCCGCTGGGAGTGAACCAGCTCTCCAGTAGACCGGATTGATGTGTTAGCCATTACACCACGCCGCATACTGCACAGCCTTAGGAATTAAATCGCTATATGCTTTAAAATAATTCTAACAAAAACAACAAGTTTTATCCAATAATTTTATTACATTCAAAAAATTGTGAATGTAAAGTTGAAAATTTTCGTTTTTCCCAAGTCGGCATATTTGTGCTTAACAAAGCAATGTCTTTTTCATCCAATGCTGTCATAATTAGATAAGTTGGATAACGTATTCTTCTTTCATCTACCAAAGAGGATGCAACAACAAATGAAAGTAAACGATGAAATTTTTCTTTATTTTTGACTAATTCCCGACAAACACAACTTAATGAGTGTTCTAATCTGTCAGGAAATAAATTTTCAGCTAAATAATTAATGTCACGTGGAGAGGATATTTCGTTGCTATTTAGTGCTTGTTTGCGACGATAATTGCTACTCTTAAATAATTAAAAATTGAATTTGAGTGGATAAGATTTGAAAATGGAAATAAAGGTTTCATTACCCCATAGATCAAAGCGGAGCACCTCGGTTCAGTCTAGACCCTATAACTCATCAAGGAATGGTCATTTTTTGAAGTTCTTGTAACATTGAATAGAGAATCGAAAGCTCTACAAAATATCAAAAAATCAGAATTTTTGTCCGATAGATAAAAAGGTTATGATATACCAACTTTTTCAAAAAAACGTGATTTTTTGGCACTTTTTCGAAGATAACTTTCATATCAGTTAGTCAAGAATTTCGATTTTCTGGTATATTGTAGCTTACTTAATGCTTTATCAAATGATACTAAGAACATCAAAAATTATCAGCTCCTTCAAAAGTTATAGGGCGCGACTGAACTGAGCCCGGACTGAAACGAGGTGTACCCAGATCAAACCATCCGGGGAAATTAGGACACAGAAATTTCTAAACTGTTTCTCATTGTTTCAAACCTTGGAACAATGATACATATTCATTAAAATCTAAATAGAATAAATCACCTGAATAAAGAACTCTGGCAACAATTGTGTAATCACTGGAGAAAATGAATTCAATAAAATAGGCACAGAGACTAAAAAAGTTCTTAAGAAGCTCAATTCAGCCAATAAATATTTCCTTTTAATTGGTTCACTAATGTGTTCGGTCCATGGCTGGTCTAAAGGACGAAACATAGCAAAACAGAGAGCACTTAAATCACGTAAATCTGCTAACATTTCTGGTTGACGAGTGTGAAACTAAATTTAAAAAATTTTTCGAAAAAAGAATTAATTTTAAAAATCATAATAAAACAAATAATTTCTTTTAAATAAAATGACTAAAATATCCATATTAATGTTATGTTACGCGTACATAAGAATCGCAAGACGATTTTTGTGCTTACATAAAATAAAGTCTTTCGCTAAAGCAACTGTCGCAATGCGAAAAAACTCTAGTTGTAAGCACGACGCAACGACTGTCTCCGGCAACAAGTCACCTAGCAACTGTCGCAAGTAAGCACTATATTAAATAGATGGTTAAACACTAATGAAAATCTAATTTTCTAAAAACGAGAGGTAAATAAGGAGGAAAAAGTTGAAATATATTTGAAAGTAAAAATAATTTACTTTCTTATTGACAGAAAAAAAATAAAATTTCATTTAAATACAACATGGTAAAATAAATTTTCTCGCTTTTTCGAATAAAAATTCACTTTCCCACATAAGACAATTTTCAAAAATAAAAAAAATCTCACTACCCAACATTTAAAAAAATAAATTCAAACCTTCAATATTCTTTCCACAATTTTTATAGAATAAATTTTTGGTTCTGGTTCTGCCTCCATTAAATTAATTAAATCAATTGTAAAAGGTAATTCAACTTTATGTTGTTGAGAAGCAAGTAAATATAAAAGTTTTAAAGAGGCACGAATTGTTTTTGGGGGAGAATTGGCCAATTGTTTGAAAGGAACGGAAGAAATAATTTGTGTAATCTAAATTTATTTATTTTAAATTAAAGTTTAAAAATTAAAAAAAACCGTTTTTTTGGACAAATTACGAAGCAAAATTCCATCAGTATCAACTTCAATCTCCTCATCAATTTTCTCAAAAATTTCTAATAATGAATTCCAATCATTATGGAAGTCGCCTAAAAATAAAAAAAATTTTATTTAAAAAATTATCTAACCCAAAGCAGTTACTTTTTATCAAGTTACGTAAAACAAGTTCATTTTAGCTCTCTTAACAAGGGCGTAGCCAAGAGGTCGATTTTAAAATGATAAAATTTTGTGGCGTGTAAGCGTAAAAAATTCACTTTTCTGGTCATTTTCCTCTAAAATTTTTTTCGTTTTCGCCATTTCAGGGGGCTATAGCCCCAGAAGCCCATACCTGGCACCGCCGTTGTCCCATAACCTAACCCTTTCCAAAATTACCCTTGTCTTATAATTAAATCACAAATTAGAAAATAATCAAAATACATTTTGGTGTTTTTCTTCTTTTTAAGCGTTCCTTAGCTAATTTAGACCAATTTAAAATTCCATTTTTTGTAAAATGTGGAGGCAAAACGTCAATTAGTGCTGTTTCTATAGATTGCCGAAATTCTCCAAAACGAATAGACGGATTTTTTGCGAGACAAAAAAGGAAATATTTGAGGGAGTTTTTACTAAATTTGTTAAAAATAAATTAAAAAATTAAATTTAAAAATACTTTTGAGAAAATGTGACTAGAAATTGCATAACAGGAATGTGTAATTTGCTGGGGCAAATGGGCCAAAAAGAAGCAAGATTGCGGAAAAGCAAATCAAATAACTAAAAAATAATTGAAAATGGATTTTTAATTAATTGAAAAGTTCGGGAAAGAAAAAATATATTCAGAAATTTCGAGAAAATATTAAATGAGAAAATTTCAACAAATATCCCTCTACACGTAGTGGGAAAATATTTATAAATAATTTGAACACGGAATGGACGAAAAAAGGAACGACAAAACACGGTCAGACAAAACATGGAAAAGACAAAATACGGAACGACCAAAATACAGACTATACACCAAAACACGTAACAGACAAAACACTATCTACCCATAACAGGAATGGACAGAACATGGAATGACCAAAACGCGGAATACTTTTAAAAATTAAAATATTTTTTAAATCATAATTTTTATAAAAACCAGCATTTAAAAATAATTCTATTAAATTCTGATTTTTAAAAGTATTCTCTAGACCGTGTTTTGCCCCTCACTCCAAAATGTTGGGTGAACTAAATAATAAAAATAAAAAAATTACCACAGAATTGTAACTGCATAAAATATTATTTTGAGCCTCATCAATATTTAATTCCTCATTATTTCCATTATCCACACAAACATCTTTTTGAATAATTTCCGTACATTTTTCAAATAAATAATTTTTTCGAATTCGTCTAAATATAATTCTACAAATATTATTAATTGTTTCTGCTTTCTCTAAAGTAGACGCAATATTTAATAAAATAACAGTACAAATCTGAAGAAATGGGCAACGTTCAAAATTCTGAAAAAATTTTTTGGAAAGAAAAAAATAATTTTAAACCTGAATATTTATTTTTTCAATTAATTTCGTCCAAATAAAAGTTAATTCTTTAATTAATTGTTTTTGAGTTTTTTCTGTGCTAACACTAAGAAAATAATTTAATTCAAAAATAATTATTTGAAATAAACAAAAGGTAAGGTTTGCAGCAATTCCCTGTTCTTCTTTTAAATTAAAAATAAATTTTGAAAAAATAAACGGAAATATTGAACTGGACAGACCCCCTTTTTCCTCTTCAATTTTTCCCCTATATTTTTGCAAAATGGTCAGACATTTTCCTTTCTTCCATCCTTCTCAAAACTCATAGGTACTTGTTAAATACCAAAAAAGTAATCTTCCCTTTGGGTCCGCCCCAGAAGGTCGTCCTTAATCCAACCAAATCCAGCATAATCCGCACTAATCCTTCTTTATCGACATTAATTCTCACATCAGACATCCTTCCTAATCCGGTCGAATACCCTTTATCCGCCCGAATATCTGAGGTCGACCTTCTGAGTTTCGACCTTCTGCATTGATACCCTCCGTTTACTTGTTTTTTGGCATGTATTTGCACCTGTATAAAATTAAATAATCCTTTTTATTTGATTGTAGGCAAAAAATAGAAAGGCAATTTGGATGGAAAGGAAAAAGTCTGACCAATTTGCAAAAATATAGGGAAAAAATTGGGGAGGAAAAAGGGGTCTGTCCGGTTCAATATTACCAAATAAACAAAATTACCTAAATTCCAAAAGCGAGAACATATTTCAATCATTTGATCACTTTTAATTAAATCTCGCGTCTGCCTGGCACTCAAAAGTGGAATGTTTTCAATTAACAAACGAAGAACAACAACTAGACTTCTAAATGAAAATTTAAAAAATAAAATAAAAATTTAAACCTTTTCAACATTTTTTTATCATTTCCCAAGGAATTTAATAATTGTAATAAAAGTTTGGAGTATTCAAATGAAACAAGGGGGCTAAGTTCACGAAAATACACAACAAATTCATTCAAAATTAATTGGGAAATTGAAAATTCGGAGACAGAAGATTTTTGAAAAAGTTCAAGAATTGACTGAAATAATTCATCTAAACGTCGTTGATCTCTCAATTTTAACAAAAAATCAGAAATTTTTTGTTGATCTGAAATTATAAACATAAAACAAAAATTAGTATTTTATTCAAACCTTTAGAAAGCAAAATCTCTTGTAATTTTTCTTGATCTATCATGTTGAATTATTAAGAATTTCTAGAAAAATAAATGAAATTTTATATTTTAGACTAGAGGTCGGTGCGGGACGGGATACCGCGAAGGATTTTGCGAGAGCCCGTCCCGCAATCCCGCACTTTTTGAATTGCAGGATTTTGCGGGATTGGGATTTATCCCGCGTGATCCTGTCCCGCAAAGATTTTTAGAAAAAAACCCGCATGCGGGACCCCACAAACACGATTTACCGAACTCTATTTCAGACAGAAAAAGTAGGACTCAAATTGCTGACTCAAAATGGGTACGGCCCAAATAGGCGCGCGGCCATAACGGTGCAAAACCATAACTTGCTTCTAAATTTCTCAATCTTGACAAATTTAGTATTAAACGATTCCTCTCTATGAGCTAAAGAGAATGTTACTAAAATTGATAAGGGCCGGAAATCTTTCAACTAGTTAACGTTTTGCGTTGTTATGGCGCGCGCCTACTTGGGCGTCCCTGCGAATATAAATTTGGCAATATGATTTTTTCAAAATTTTTAATTTTCTTAATTTTTTCTTTTTTTGGACAATTCCTGAACTTGTACTTTCGTTGAATTTTGTTTAAAAAATCTATATTTATTTTGTAAAATTTTTTTTGAAAGGTTTGGTAATAGTTCGTGTTATTCCACCCCTTTTTACTGTCTCCCTGACCATTTTGCTCTTGTTTGCTTGATATCATTTGAAAGAGCTTTTCGAGCTGAGTAAGAATGGCACTAAAATCAATGAACTCTGACTTAAATCAATATAAGTAAATGTTTTGTTTTGACCGCTTACAGCGTCACAAAAGTTTGTTAAGCGAGGATTCTGCTTCATAATTGTGTTCAGAGTCACCGAATCTAACCGAACATAGTATCATTCGACCCAGATCAAAAAACTCTTTCAAATGTTAAATTAAAATGGACAGGGGGGATTCAGTAGAAATGGGTGGAATAAACCGAACTATTACCAAAGTTTAATATAAATATTTTTCAGGTTAAATAATTTTTTAATTTAATTTTCGTCGGAACTTCAATTAAAGTAATGGCTGATAAATTTTATCCTCCTTTTCCTAAAAAACATGTAATTGGTCAATACACATTTGTTGAGCCGGATTTTAAAGTTAAATTTCCTGCCTTTCACTGTTGCCAATCTCATAATGCTGGTTGTAATTCTTTCGATACCAATTTTGACTTCGATATTTCTACAACAACACAAAATCTTCATCAAAACAACAATTTTCATCAAAACCTCAATAACAACAACAAGGCAACTATAAACAACCCAAAAAATACCTACACAACCCCAAGCAGTACACGAACAAAAATCAACGACAACTCTTCAACCTTCCGAACTGTCAATTTCGTACCTCCACCTCGTCCTCTTGCTCAACCTCAAATTTCAATAAAACCTCCAATTTATACAATTTCTTCATCTCCACCTCCAACGGCAAAAATACCTTCAAAGGCTTTTATTACTCCTTCATCTCCGCCTTCTATACCTTTTAAAAGGCCTCCAATTCCACCTTATATTGTTTCTTTATCTCCACCTCCTATTGAAGCAAAATCTTCATTTTCTGTCACATCACTTGCACCGTCTACTTCGGAAATTTCAAAATTGGTAGAACCGAAGAGCGAAATTGAACATGAAGCTATGGATCAATGTATTTATTTTTAATAAATTTTTCCCAATTTTAATGCTTGTATTTTAGTTGTTCTCAGCGAGCAAGGCAACAAATCTGGATTTTGGTGAGTATTATTCTTTTAGGCTTTTTCTGATATAATTTCATTATTTTCTCTTTTAATCATCGTTTATTTCCTAAATAAAATTTAGGAATCTCCCAGTAATCTTCTAATTTACTGGTCCCTGGAAAAAAACGAGCAAGAAATATTCTTTCGATATTTTTGAGGTTTTCTGATAGGTAATCGACTGTGCTAGGACTTTGTACATTTTGAACCCAGGCTCGATTTAGATCAACTTTAACCTCTTATTAGATTATCCCTAAAATTTCAATTTGAATTTTTAACCCGAATTCTGTTTGGTCGAATTCGGGTCTTTTCTGGGGACCAATAAACTAAAAGATTGCCAATCTCCCTTTTACCGACCTCTGTTTAGGAAATGCAAAATTACCTTTTAGAGCCCTAAAGTTTTTAATTTTCCATTAATTTTTGAGCCTTTCTAAAAATTTTAATAAAAATTTTTAGGCTTTCTTTTATTCGTCCAAACGTCGTTTTTGATGTATTGCCGAAATCCTCGTTGCAATTTCGCAGAATTATTTCGCATTTTCAAGGAATTTATCCAAATGGATCTGGAATAATCTTCTGCATGTCAAAGTATTTTTAGATAATTCATTTTTATATTTTTTAAATTGTTTTAAAGAAAAGAATGTGACACGGTTACAGATATGGTTGGAGGTGCTCTCCCCTATCATATGGATTTGCCTGATTCAGTTCGTAATGAAACACAACGACGTTGGGAAAAGAATGAAGTTAAAATTCTTTGTGCGACTATAGGTTTTCTAATTTTTATTAATTTACAATCAACCAAAAAAAGTTGATGATACGGGTTTGTATTTGTGGTCAGTGTGCAAATAAAAAAATTTTTCTGGGAATTCCTTCCATATTTTAGAAATTGATCCGCTAGATTTATAAGAAAAATTCCAGATGTTTCTGCTCTGGTTTTATTCATCAACGGCGTAGCCAGGGAGCTTCTGGGGCTATAGCCCCCCTCCTGAAATAAGGAAAGTGAAAAAATTTTAGAAGGGAAATGAGCAGAAAAGTGAATTTTTTACGACTACAACCCGCAAAATTCTCAAAATTTACGCCTGCGGCGTGAAAAGATAAAAATAAATGTACACAAAATTTGTGTTGGGACGCCAAAGTAAACGCAAAAATTTTGGCGCATAACCCATTTAGTCCCCTGAAATCGACCTCCTAGCTACGCCCTTGCTATTATTTATGTCTATTTTCTCAATATCTAGTACCAAAAATTTTTGCGCTTATTTTTTCTTAATTTTTTTGCAACCTCAACCTTATTTGATCTAACAATAAATGATAGTACTTTTTTGGTGTCTTTTAATCAACACCGGAATAGCCCGGAAATCTTTTTTGCAATGTCCGAAATTTTTTCTTTTTAGCTTTTGGCAAGACAGTCAACAAAGCAAATGTCCGTTTTGTTATTCACCACACATTACCTCAATCTTTGGAGCAATACGAAAGGCAATGTGCTTTAGCTGGAACAGATGGCCAACTTTCCCATTGTACTCTTCTTTATAGCTTTAATGACCATTTACGTGTACTTCGTCTGATAAAAGAAGATATTCCAAAACCTCCGCCAAATGTTATGGCTATGAAGGAAGGCTCTTTGAAAAATGTTCTTCGTTATTGTGAGAATGTGGCTGAATGTAGACGAAAGAAGCTGGCTGCGGCTTTTGACGAGGTTAATTATTTTATTTTATTTTTTTGGAGTAACGAAGTTTAATTTTATCACGCCGAGTTTCTTTTTTCATAGTTTTGGCTTTTAAATGTAGTCCGAAACAGGGCTGGGCTCAATTACGGATTGTCTGAAATTGATGTTTTTTGACTTGCGGATTGTGTTTACGGATTTTAAAATTGCGCCTGCGGAAATTTCTTTTCCAATTGCGCCCAGCCTAGGTCCGAAACCGTTTTCTCGCTGTGTCCTTTAAGTAACTTTATGAAAAACTTATGGAGAGTTCAGTAATGTTAAAATTGGGCAATTTTTGTTGCCTTTTTAAAAGGTACTGAAAACTTTTTTGGTTTGTTGAAACATTTCTTTCATATAGGGGCATTATTTTCATGCATATTTTTTTTTAAATTTATGTTTAAATATTTTTTTAAAGAAATACAGTGCCGAGCAATGTATTGCAACCGCTGGTCCCTGTACAATTTGCGAAGCTTTAATGGATGGAAAACAACCTTTAAAACTTTATGATTTTACTGGGGAAGCGCTCGCTGTCTTCGCCTCAATGAGAATGCTTCGTAATACTTGTATAAGCTACATGGCTGATATCTTTCGAGGATGTTTAACTAAAAAACGTGTTAAACAAACGGTTATTTTTTTAAATTAATTTTAAAGAATTATTTAAATTATTTAAGATGGATGATAACAGTCACGGACGTTTGCCTTTTTTCGGTCTGGGGAGTGGTCTCACTGATACCGATTGTCAACGTTTCATGCAAAAGCTTGTAATTGATGACTATTTGTATTTGAGATTGACCAGCACTAGACATATGACTGTTATTGGATATGCTGCTTTGGGAAAGAAAGGATCTAATTTACTTAATAGATACAAACAACAGGAGAATGTACCTCCAAATGAACGAGTAAGTTTTGGAAAATCTTAAAACCAGGGACTCGAAACTTTGGATATATTGACGGTCTCATGGGTCCAGTTAACAAGAACTAAAGGGCGTAGACAGGGGATCGATTTCAGGAGGCTAAAATGGGGTTTGCGCCAAAATTTTGACATTTACTTTGGCGTTCCGAACGCAAATTTTTAATGCATATTTTTATTTTTTCAGCGCCGCAGGCGAAATTTTGAGAATTTTAAAAGGTTGTGGGCCAAAAAATTCACTTTTTTAGCGCTGCAGTCGAAAATTTTTTGATTTTGAAAGTCCAAGAAGTCAACTTTCTTACATTTTCAGCGCATCAGGCGAAAATTTTGGGAGTTGTAGGCGTAAAAAATGCACTTTTCTGATCATTTCCCTCCCAAAATTTTTCCATTTTCCCCGTTTCAGGGGGGGACTTTAGCCCGAGAAGCCCCCCCCCCTCTCTGGCTATGCCCTTGCAAGAACCCTCTATTTAACAAAAAAATATTTTTTTAGAAATATTTTACTAAAATATAAATATTTTAGATTTATTTACACGTTTCTGATGCAAAAGAAAAAAGGCGTAGTAGCAAAGGCCATACAGACTTAGATGCTGATGACCAAACAAATAACATTGCAAATAAACGAAAAAGACTGAGTTCTGTTTTTTGATTATTTGTTTGTGTTTAATTAATTTTTGGATAAAAAAAAACAAAATTTAATATTTGTTTTAATTTTTAGGCCAAGTGACAATGTCTCCTTTTGTGAATTTTTGCTGATCTTTTTACATATTTTTCACAATATTTTGATTGTCTTTTCTGTTTAATTGATCTCTAAATATTATATTTATTTTATTAAATATTGTGTTTGTCTTTTTCTTTTTTTATCAATTAAATCTTTGATTATCTTCTTTTGGGTTTAAGGGAGGAAGGAATTAAGTATATAAATAGGTATTTATTAAAATATATTCTGATAACGATTTTGTGACATTTCTTTAAAATATTGCAACTAGGTTTTTATCAAAAAAAAAGACTAAAATTATTTCTTAAAAAGAAAGTTGGATCGTTTTTTGATCACGCATGAAATCAATAAATATTAAATTATTAACGTTTGAGCGCGTGAAATGATTAATATAATTTTTGTTGATTAAAATAAATAAATTCCAATTTTATTTCCATTCCTTTCTCTTGTTTCAATTTTTAATCTAATTCCTCAAAAATATTCATAAAAATTACCTATTTCCATAAATGCCTTACAAATCTGATTTTCCTCCAGTTGAAATAGCCAATGAGCCTTATCCGCCTCGATTGCTTTCTGCACTATGGGAACATTTTTCTGAATGTCCTGAAAGGATTGCATTGGTTTTTATTAAAAATATTAGAATTTATTAAATTTTTACTTTAAGCATTTTAAATAATTTTATTATCATTTGTTGGCTAAATTTAAAATTTTAATTAAAATCAGATCAACTCCAAAGAACCAAATACTGATTTTGTAACATTTGGAGAACTTTATGTATTTTCCCTAGCCACCGCTGCTTTTTTACAGAATAGAGGGTTTTTGTTTGGTGATGTTGCTTGTTTAGTTATGCAGAATTGTTGGGAATATGTACCCATATTTGCGGGTATTGGTCTTCAGGGAGGAGCAACTAGTGGAGCTAATCCTTATTTTACTCAAAGTTGGCAGAGATTTCAAATTATTTAAAAAATAAATTTGAAATATAATGGGTAGATCTGTAAGTTCTTGGACATCTTCCGGATCCAGAACCGAACCTAAGAGTTCTTTGGTTCCAAACATACCGTATTTACTCGCTCATTTTTTCAACCCATCCGTAGCATGGGGAATTATTCGAGGGATGGGAATTATTCTAGTTTTGAAATTTGAATGTGTAGTAGGGTGTTTGGGGGAGGGGGATTATTGTTTCAACTCATCCATAGCAGGGGGAATTATTCGAGGGAGGGGAATTAATCGAGTAAATACGGTAAGTGCTTGGCTCCGGAGCCAGGCTCCAAGAATGCCCAATACCGAGCACTACAGAAACCTTAGTATGTAAAGTATTTAAAAATTTTATCTCTCATAATGCTTTTCCAATTAAATATTTAGGAGAACTTCAATATCAATTCAACGAATCTCAAGCTAAAATTGTCTTTTGCTCTGAAACATGCCTTAATAATGTTATTGGGGCTGTTAAAGGTTCTCAAACTGTGAAGGTGTAATTTCTCTTTTCATTTAAGTAATACCGATTTTTAAAGACAATAGTTCTTGTCGAATCTGGTCATTCCAAAAAGCCTTTAAATCAAAATGAAAATCAGCTTCCTTTTGGAGTTATACGTTTTGGCCAAGTAATTAGAACGGAACCAACAATTGCAATTGAATTTTCATTAGTAAATTGTCGACCTGATAAAGACATTATTTTGTTGCCATTTTCATCGTGAGTTGAAAAAATGTGAAAATATAAATACACTCCTTGATATTTAAAGGATACCTTTTTAAATTATACCCAGTGATGCGGGGGTTCCGGTTCCGAAACCGGAACCGGCGACATTTTGGAAGTTCCGTTTCACTGATTATACCTATTGTTAATAGGCACTCAATTAAATTTCCCTTAAATTTGTGAAAATATTTTCAGTGGCACAACTGGATCTCCAAAAGGTGTAATTATCACCCACAAAAATATAGGCACAATGTTGAATATTTTAATTGACCATTTCCGAAATCAAATTCACGCTTATATGCGGCCAACATTTATAGAAAAGGAGGAAAATGAACTGCTTCTTCTCCCTTTCTTCCATTGTTATGGCTTTTGTATGTTACAGGCTTGTCTTTTAAATGGGTCGACTGGATTGGTAATGGCTGGTTTTGAGCCAAAACTGTTCTGTGAGACTATACAGAATTTTAGGGTATATAAATTATTTAAATATTTGTGAGATAGAATGGAAAATTAATATAGGTAATACCTATAAGTGGCAATCTTTCTTTAGAAATATGTAGTTAATTACCCACATATTTTCCATAATTTTATCAAATAAATTTTTAATTAAAATTAGTCAAATAAAAATTATTGCCAGATTCGACTTATAAAAACTGTACCCCCAATTCTTGTATTTTTGGCCAAAAACCAAATTGTTTCAAATTATGATCTCTCTTCGGTAAATGTAATCTTTTCGGGTGCAGCTCCAGCTGGTGCAGATCTATGCGAGGAAGTTTTGTCCAGACTTCCTAATGTTCAACATATTTGCCAAGGCATATTTTTCATGATTAAATTGGGTTAGGATTAATGACCTTTTATCGATTTTGCGGTTAAATTTAATCATTTCTGGCCTTCGTTTTATCAAAGCTTTAAATGCATCGCCTAATTCAAGTATATAGAATTTTAGGGTATGGCATGACCGAATTGACAGTTGCTTCACACTTCCCTGTCTTAGATAAACAAAGATATAAATCAACTGGAAAACTACTTTCCAATTTGGAAATGAAGGTTTTTCTTGTTTCTAAACACTTGGACTTTTATAAAAATTCTTAGATTGTAGAAATTAATTCTGATGACGAAGTAGAAGTTGAGAGGGGAATGCCTGGGGAGCTTTTACTTCGCGGTCCCACGATTATGTTGGGATATTTGAGAAAGCCTGAGGAAACAAGAAGAATAATTAATCCGGATGGATGGTTAAGGACTGGTAGATAATGAACTTTTAGAAAGTTTCTAAAAAATATTTTTAATTAAAGGTGATGTTGTTTTTGTTGATAATGAAGGGTTTATTACTGTACTTGATAGATTGAAAGAATTGATAAAAGTTAATGGACTTCAGGTAATGAATGAATGATTCAACAGATATATTTTTAAAGCTTATCCTCAATTCAGAATAAAAGAATCCCTGTGTTTCCAAAAATTTTAATATTAGTACAGACTAAAATTAAACATGTTTATACCAGGGCTCCGATCGACAAAATGCCACTCAAAAGTATAAAAATCTTGATTTAAAAGTATATAGGGAGAAAAATTTCCAAATTTAAAGTATACTCCAAATTGAATTAGAAAATATTTATTCGTGCTCAAATCTTTTATATTTCTCTCCTAAATGAATCTTCTCTAATAATTTCTTGTTTCCATTGAGCATTTTTTGCATTTCAATGCACTTTTTGTGGTGCCGAAGAAGCCACAAAAAAGTTTTTCAAATCCAAAATTGCGCCGCAGGCGAAAATTTTGAGAATTTTGGAGGTCCTTAAATCAAATTTCTTCCATTTTTTGCGCCGTAGGCGAAAATTTTGAGAATTTTGGAGGTCCTTAAGCCAGATTTCTTCCATTTTGTTTCAAAATGTTGATTTTAAAGTATATACTTTCAATAAAGTAGAAATTCAATTTCTTAAGTATGGAGGTCGGTTTCAAAGTATAATACTTTCAATTAAAGCATGAATCGGAGCCCTGGTTTATACCCTAATGGCATCTTTGTAGATTAGAAAAATAAAATCGGAGACCTCAATAAACCTCCACAAATCGTTATTTTTTAACACAAATAGTTAACTATGATAACTAAATTATAACATTTAGAGTTGAATTCATAAGGAATTTACTTAAAATATTGTTAGATTTTCGGAGAATAGAATTTCTGAGAGAGAGAACAGACTCGTTATTTTATTTAAAAATTAATTTAAAGGTAGCCCCTGCAGAACTAGAAGATTTACTTCTTTCACATCCAGATATTGAAGATTGTGCTGTTGTTGGGATATCAGATCCCATGTCTGGGGAATTACCTTTTGGATTTGTTGTTAAAAAAGAGGGGAGTTCTCTTTCAGAGAGAGATGTTCAAGAATTTGTTAAAAGTAATTAAATTAATTGAAATTAGGGCTGGGATTCGTACTTGTTTTGGAAAAGATATAAGTACGAATTCGTACTTATTTTTTTCTTCTTTTTTGAAGAAAAAAATTTTCCCACCGTGTACTTATAAATTAAACTTTTTGTACTTCCACTTAACATTTTCTCGTTCACAGCCCTTATTAAAATAAATAATATTTAAAATTTAATTTTAAGTCAAAGCTGTCTATTATAAACATTTAAAGGGAGGAGTTGAATTTATTGATAAAATTCCAAAAAGTCCATCAGGGAAAATATTAAGAAGATTACTCAGAGAAAGGCTTAAAAATAATAATAAATTAATTTCAAAAATTTGATATTCGTTTTTTTATATTTATTTTGTTAAAAACATTTTAATTTAATTTTTTTTAATTTTATTAACTTTAATTACTGGAAGATTTTAAGGATTTTATTTATAATTGACAGATTGTCAAAAAACAAAAAAAAACATTTAATTTTTATTAATGCTGCTATAAATATCATATTTCAAAAATTGTTTTACTAGCTTTAACAAATACATAAACATTATTTATTTAACATTTGTTGAGAAATTATTTTGCAAGTTTTTTCAATCGTTAAAATATTGAGTTAATATTTTCAAAATTTTTATTTCTACTAATATGTATTAGGTATTTGTAATTGAATTAAATAAATTTTATTTAAAATTTTAGTTTTAAATATACTTAAATAAGCAAATAATATTATTAATTTTTAATTTTATTTACATAAATTAATCAAAAATCGTTTTAGTTTAATTAATCAATAGATAGGACAGTCTGATAAATTTTATACATAAAAATTTGACAGATAAGGAATAAAGGGTGACCAGATAACAATATCTTTAATTTAAATAAAGTTAAGGCATAAATGAGCTATGCAATTACTTTCTGGTCACCCAGTAAAAAGTAATCCACACATTTTTTACTTTTTATGTTTTGTTTAGCTTGGATATTTGCCAATCTTTATAGAGAAACCAGAAAATTCAAAATTAATTATAAAAAATACCAAACATTAATGTTCACAACATTTAAGTGTATTTTTAGCTTCATTTTTTTTGTTTTTTAACCTTTTAATTTAATTCTTTTAAAATAATGAAGCCTTTCCTTTCTGAAGACAACAAAAAATTCCCTCCCTTTTTTTAAATAATTAATTTAAACCTCGTGTTCTAAATTAAATGACCTCGTAGTTATTTTATATTTTGTCTCCCCTACTATAAATTTATTTGCGCAATTTCCTTCTCATAAATAAATTATAATATTATTAAAAAATATTTTTTTATTTTAAATGTCATAATGCTGCTAAATATTATTCTAAAAAATATTAGAAAATAAACAAATTAATATTTATAGCCAAATTAATTTGCAATAATATCCTACATTAAATAAATCCTCTTTAAAGTAAAAAAATGTTTTTCAAGGAAGAAATTAAAATTGAGACACGTCAACCCAACTAAAAACAAAAACAATTTATTATAAATAATTATCGTAAAACCCCTTATAGAAGTCCTGAGCTCCTATTTTTCAATACCACTCATAGAGTGGGCTTATATTAGGGACGGGCTTTTATTGGGATATTTACGTTAAATTTGCTAGGTTTTCTATTTTTAATTCTTTATAGATGCGCGTAATCATTGACTTTATAGATTAAATAATATCTTATTGTTGTTGATTTCCTTGGGAGATTTCTTTATCAGTTTCTTTGTAAAATCACAAAACGTAAAAATTATTTAAATTTAAAATACCAAATAAACAATTCCTTTTTTTTATTGGAAATTTCCTTTAATTTATTTAAACAATCTTCCGCAAACAATTTTTAAAAATTATTTATTTTACTAAGTTTTTGTTTTTTAAATTTCAGACATTAATATATTCTAAATTTTTTAAAATATTAAAATTCGTGAGAGAATTCTTTTAATTAAATTGTGGTTTATATTTCCATAATTAAAAAAAATTTTATTTTCAAAATAATTTTCTCTAGACATAATTTCCGAACATTTCCTTCAAAAAATTTTTTTTCAGACATTCTTTCCAATTAAAAAAAATAAATTTATTAAAATATGCAAGTCTACACTGACCTTTTTTAATTAAAAATTTTGTAAAATATTTTTAAAAATAATTATTTTTAAATAAAAAAAATTTAGAAATAAATTTTATTTCCTTTATTTTCTTTTCCAAACATCTGTTCTTTCCGGTTATTTAAATTAAAATTTTTTTCAAACTTTGCTCGAAATAATCTTTAAAGTTCGTCATTTGAATATTAAAAAAGATATCTTTTTTTTAAATTATTAAAAATTTAAATAACAAAATTTTATTGGAAAATTTTTCTCGTGTTAATTTTGCAAATTTTGATTATTTTTTAAACAAAAACCAAGATAAGGAAAAATAAAAAAGATAAACAATCATTTTTGATGCATGATCCAATACAAATGAATTTTATATCATTCGAAAGCCCCCGATAAGCTCTATCTTTTACCCAACTATATGGATCAGGTCATAAAAAGTTACAAGTCGATAAGTGCAATAAATCGTTGTTTTTCACTATTATCGGGTTAGAACTTTTATATGAGTGATTAGACCTGATCCATACAGTTGGGTAAAAGATAGAGCTTATCGAGGGCTTTCGAATGATATAAAATTCATCTGTATTGGATCAAGCATCAAAAAGTTTGCGGTCGATTTGCGGACCATTATTTTTTCAACCTCTCTATGGAGGGTGTAATTAAAAGGGAGGGGGAATTATTCGAGAGAGGGACAGTATTTCATCATTTACGGTATTTTAGAAATTATTTTTAAATTTTAAATGTTAAGTAAAAAAATCGACCCTATCTGAATAAGAGGGCGGTTTGATTTTTTTCATCATTTTTTTCCTACCTTAATATACATATAAATAATGGTCAGTCTTTTCTTCCTCGCTCGATTCCACTCGTTTTACCCGTGGCATATTCAAATGAGAGGACAAACAAAACATGGACGTATTCAAAGAGGAAGAAAAGACTGACCACGGACGGACTCGGACAGACAAAACACGGACGAACACAGAAGACAAAACACGGACGGACTCGGACAAAACGCGGACGACCGTGTACTTTGTCCGTTTTGTCTGTCCATGTGTGTGTTTTGACTCTTCTCATTTGAATATGCCACGGGTAAAACGAGTGAAATCGAACGAGGAAGAAAAGACTGACCATTATTTATATATTAAGGTAGGAAAAAAATGATGAAAAAAAATCAAACCGCCCTCTTATTCAGATAGGGCCAAAAAATCTAAATAAATTTATTTAAGAATAATTTTAAAAACATTTTCCATAATTATCTTTTAAATATTTAAACAAATTTAGATATTTTGGTTAAAAAATTTTTTCAAACCGAAATAAGTAGTAGCTAGAAATATTTCTATTTTAAGAAAATATTAAATTATTTTTTGGAAGTTTTTAGGAATAATTTGCAATTTCTTTTTTAAATATTTTTACAGATTTGTTTTTAAAATATTATTTTCCTATAGGGATTTTAAAGTAAAAAATAAATTTTAGTTAATTTATGAAAAAATTGAAAAATAAATATTTTGTTCCGTCAAAACTTTTTAAAAATATTTTTTAAGTTTTTAGACAAATTGGAAGGAAATTTAAGTTCATAGTTTCTGGATCATATTTTCTACCAGACTTGGTAATGGACTTGGATTTTGGTATCCGTATCCGGATATTTATGGCGGATACAGACGGATATCCGCAGGCATTTTGAACCTATCTGTATCCATATCCTATCCATTATCAATCCTGTTTTCAATTTTCTTTTAAATAAAAATTTTTTTCATTAAATAAAAATAATATTTTTAATTATTTGAATTAAATTTGGAAAAAAATATTTTTTTCTTAAAATTAATTTCGAAACAATTCTTTGTATTTATTTAACAAAATTAAAGTCATACTAAACTAACAATCATTCTTTCTATTTTTAGTCCTTTTTTTAATTTTCC